TCTCAGTCTGGAGGCTCTGCTGAAACCTGTCCACCGTGGGTGGCCCTGCTGGGATTGGAAATCCCGGGGGCACAGCCTCCAGCCTCACAGCAATACACAAGCCACCACAGTACGACACACTGACAGTGTTGTGGTTGGTTGCTGTGGAGTCAGTTCCGACTCATGGCAACTCTGTGTGTGCAAATTAGAACCACGCTCTATAAGGTTTTCAAGGCTCTGACCACTTGGAAGCAGACAGCCAGGGCTCTCTTTTGAGTTGCCTCTGGATGGGTTCGAATCACCAACATTTTGGCCATTAATTAGTCAAGTGCTTAACCATCTGCACCCCCAGGACCCCTAGAGGTAAAGAGGCTGGGATAATTCCACCTCCCTGCGTTTGAAACGTCTGTCTCCTTTGACCCCACTGCTGCACACAAACATTGTTTTCTTGCGCCTGTATTTTGATTTGCCTGTTTGCTGAAAAGTTGGAGTTTGGACATTAAATCCTTTTGAATAGAGCTGTTTTAATGTTTATGTGTTGTGGACATCCAGTTCTTGCATAACCTGATGGTACATCAAAATGCATGAAAAATGCTCTGTTTTCTTATGCACTCTTTCCCTCTCTCTCTCTGCCTTTTATTTCTTGTAAAAACTCCCAGCTTTCCATGAGACCAGAACTGGATGGTGCCAGGCTACTACTAATACAGAGCATTTGGACCAAAGTGGCTATAGAAAAATCCTGATCAAAAGGGGGGAATGTGGAACAGAATTTAAAATTCTCATAGAATCTCAGACTTTCTGGAGCCATGGAAGCTGGATGAACCCTCAAAACCATTACCCCAAGATCATCTTTAAACCTTAAACTGAAACTGTCCCCTGACGTCTTCTTTAAACCAAACCATAGTTCAGCTCAATTAGAATGTCTGCCTTGAGCCTCTGATCTCTTCAAGAACTGTCTCTATGGGATCAAACCGCCAATAGGTATGGACACGACAGGTTTGATGAGAAGCTTAGAGGCCAGTGAGTTTATCTCAGCGGTGGTGGGATAACTTAGAATAGGAGCGAAAATGGTTGCACAACTTGACTGATGTAAACACTGTCTGAATTGTACGTGGAAATTTGTTGAGTTGGTGTGTTTTGCTGTGTATATTTCCACCAGAGCAAAGCCAGAACCTCCCGTTTTTCTGTGGGGAGAACTCCTCGTGGAGACTGTGCTGCCGATTCATGAATCTTTTCTGAAGCCGAGTGCACTCTGTAAAGTTAGCTTGGTCAGAATTTCCTGTTAGCACCCCAGAGAACAGGAGCTGTCCCCAGTTCCCGCTGTCTTTATGGAGGCCCATAGACTGCTGCTGTTCTCTGTTGCTGTCAAACTGGCTCCAAGTCGTGGCAGCCCCACGTCATGGTGGCCCCATGGACAACAGAAGGAAACGCTGCCCCGTCCTACACCATCTTCATGGTCGCTGGGGTGTCTGAGCCCATGTTGGGGCTACTGTGTCAGTCAGTCCGTCTCAGGGAGGGTCTCCCCTGTTCCCACTGACCCTCCACTCTACCGACCATGATGCCCTTTCCAGCGATTGGTCTTCCCTGATGACGTGTGCCAAGTAAGCACGTCAGAGCCCTGCTGTCCTGGCTTCCGAGCAGTGCTCTGGCCGTGCTTCTCTGGCTGTGACTGATGATGGAGCACTCTTCATGCCCTGTCATGATGAACAGTGCTGTTGGGAGTCACTGATTTAGTGACTTCCGTTTTCTTTGTAGTTTTTTTCATATGTGTGTGTGTGCATGTGTGTGTGTGTGTGGGGAGGCCTGAATAACTGAAGAGCCTTTATCTGTGATATCCAGGCCCAGGTGGCTGAGCACTGGAGATGTGGCTGGCCCAAATGGAAACGAATTTGACTTTAATCTTAGTCAGTCCTGGGTGGTGCAGACAGTCGATGCCCTTGGGTGCTGACTGAAAGGTTGGTGGTTCAAGGCCACCCTGAGGTGCCTCAGAAGAAAGGCCTGGCAACCTGCTTCTGCAAACGCAGCCACTGGAAACCCCACAGAGCACAGCTCCACTGACACATGAGGGCTCTGTGAGTCGGACTGGACTCCGTGGCAACTGGGCAGAGGGAAGGCAGGTTCTCATCAGGCTGCTTGATGGGGGCGGTACTAGAAAAGGAACCGCTGTCCACGCTTCTCCATCTGACCCCTGCTCTTTCCCTCACACGTTTCACCTGCCTCCACTTCTGTCTTTTCTTAATTGTCTTACCCACCATCACGCCGACATCACCCCTTAGGGGTCTGTGTTGTTGCAGAAGCACCAATGTTAGGGACTACGTCCTCCACAGAGTAGGAGGCCCTGGTGGGCACCAGTGGTTAAGCCCTTGACTACTAACTGAAAGGTTGGTGGTTCGAACCCACCCACAGGAGCCTGGGAAGACTGGCCTGGCAGCCAGCTTCAGAAAGGTCACAGCCTTGAATGCCCCACTGAGCCTCGTTCTGCCTGCACACGGGGCCAGGTGTTGGACTCGCTGGCAACTAACAGTTACTGGAGTCTGTGGGCAGTGCGAACGGTGAACGAGCTCAGCTGCTAACCAAAAGGTTGGGGGTTCAGGTCCCCCCAGAGGCCCCTGGGAAGAAAGGCCGGGTGAAGGAAGGAAGAAAGGCTTCTGCGAAGTCAGCCCCGGACGCCCCGAGGAACACAGTTCTGCCTGCACAGGGGGCCCCGTGAGTCAGGGTCGACTGGGCGCCAGCTCTTAACAACAGGCCTCCACTGGCCAGGGCCTGACACCTCGCCAGGACCAGGGGTGGGATGTAAGTCCCTCAGAAAATCCCGACAGCCCCGGCGTACCTTCCTTCTAAGGGTGGCTCCCCATCCCTCCTCACCCTTCTTGTCCGACACGCTCACGGCCAAAATCTCCCAGGTGGTGATGGAGTCTTTCAAGAACACGTTCATGATCTTCGTGGAGATTCTGGGTCGGGCGGAGGAGAGGCGGGGCATTAGGGGGTGGGGGTTCCTGGGGGTAGGTTGGGGGGATGGGCACAGGTACAAAGCCCCACTTGAGTTTTCTGGTTGAATTGTGAGATTCCACAGTGATTTTGGGAAAGGACGAGTTGGGGGCTGCGGTTTTTGTTTTTGTGTCTGGTGCCATCGAGTTGACTCCGACTCTGGGACCCCCTGTGTTACAGCGTAGACCTGC